GAGATCAGGATGGTCTCACGAGGCTAGTAACCAGGCCTAAAAGGGTCACATTTTGGCACAAAATGTGATGAAACACCTCATTTGATCCTTAAATTGGATGTATTATATATTTTTTTCACTTAAGGCTAAGTTAGTATGATATATTTAACTTTTCAAATGAATAAAATAATAACTATAAAATGCATTTTGTATTTATTTAGGTTATCGTTTACAATAAAACTAGTGTTATAATCTAGGCCATAAGAAAAAAAAATCATTTTGAAGCAATATGTAAAATGGTAATTACTTTCCGCTGCTCTATGTGAACACTGTGTTTAACATAACCAACAAGGCAAAAAAAAAAAAAACTCTGTGCCCTTAGTATGAATCATTCAACACTAATGTGTACATATAAAAGAACGGAAAATGAATCATGGCTTCATAGTGAATATTTGGAAACAATTTAGTGTTAGTCAGACTGTTTTCCTCGAATTCACAAACCTCTTTTTCAGCACATAAATGCAGCAGGACATTCATTTCTGTGGGGGAACCCTTTATCAGCCCTGTCAGAAAGGCTGCCCTCTGTGTGAAATAACACCATAAACTAACCCAGACATGTAAATATTACCCCTTTCTCCTGCAACGCGTCTAATGGCGCTCTCCGGACCGCTTCCAGAGACCGTTTACATTGTAAGTGCATCCAGAAATACAATTTTCTTCTCCTGCATCAAAAGACTTGCCTGTGACTCACCTAATCATCTGGGTAATATGTTTCTCCAACTGCTCCCTCCTGATGCCTGCGCCGTGGAAATATAAAAGAAATGAACTTGGAGAGCACGACAAATCATCCCAAACAAGATTTTCACAGCTAATAAATAGAGGTCAAAACAGTTATTAGTCTGTGCGCTGAACTCTAAATCTTAACTGATGGTGGATAAACTCCTTTCAGCTCTTTTGAACTGCACCTAAGCCACTATCAGTAATGTAATGGGTTATGATGAAATCAGCATAAAGGCACTAACCCTTCTGCCTGAATCCTGGACTCTTCAGAGGACTGTGAGCAGCTTTGGTTGTGGTTAAAGTCTCCATTTTACACTTTTGTTCTGTTGTGAGAATCCCTTCGTGTCCGATTGTCTGGACGCTCCTCTTTGAGTCATCGATGTCCAGAGCGGCAACTGCTTCCTGGAGAACAACAAAAATCAAACAGCCCTGTTAAAAGCTAAAAACATAAAATCACAGCACACTGGTGCTTATATTTCAACTTGGACACTTTTTCCGTCTCATTTACTGAACGCTAAAAAAATTTATTGATCCATTTTTTTTTGCAAAAATCTGACTGAGGCAGAAATATTGTTTAAACAGTTTTGTTGGAAATATTAAACAGTATTAAACAGAGCCAGGAGAAAATATAACAAAGATTTTTATTTTTTTAACTCCATCATAGACGGAGGCCCATTTTTACCACTTGAAAGTAAAAGAATAGCATGTGGCGTGTCATAATTATGGGATTTAAAGTCATACATATGAGTTTTAAAATCATAAGATATTAATCCATAAATTCTACTTCCTAAGTAATAATTATGAGACATAAAATCATAATTATGAGATTCAATAAATATGACTTAAAGTCAAAGGGAAACGAAGGATTAGGGCCACTGGAAAAAAAAAAAA